GAAATGAATAAGCCAGCTTAAAAACATAAGATTCAGTTAATTTCTATTTGCGTTATTCCTTATTTTCTTCGAGTAAACGGATTTCTAGAAATTCGCTTATTGGTTAATTAAGTAATGTCACGAAAAAACTTTCTAATTTTCCGGAAATCCTGAATATTTATATAATTTTGTTATTATGCATTGCGTATTCCTAAAAAAGAAAGGATATTCCTTTGATGAATGCAAAAATCAAAGAAGTTGAGAGAACGTATAACTATTTCCCATTCAAATGGTCCATGAAAATCGTACGGATTTTAGAGACATATATCTATCTACATGATTCAAGTGTGATGTTGTATTGATTGTATTCTTAATGCTTTTCAAAGAAAGGAAAAACATTTTGCGTGTATTCATTTTAAGAAAAAAAATGATATTTTCTGATGTCAAAATGATATTTTCTGATGTCAAAATGATATTTTCTGATGTCAAAAAATGATATTTTCTGATGTCAAAAAGCATCGATTTGATCAACGATTGGCATAGGATTAGCGCGATTTCCATGTGTAAAAATGTCACATAAAAAGTGCAAGAAAATCATTTCTTTTAAGTTTATGAACAGGTAAGCGACACATATTAACAAAAGGAGATATCGGTTCACCAATCAGGATAGGTGCAGATTTTGCTAGAGTACCATTGAAAAGTCTGAATAACAGGAGATACCCGGAAATTTATCGGCACTACGTTATAAACATCACATCCGTAGCAGAATAAACAATATTTACGCAGCTCTTACTCTTACTCATTGTTGGTTGTTTTCCAAGGTAACAATGACTACCCGAAGAAATCAATACACATTAGAACTAAGAATCAATATCATCGACACAAGTAATATCAGAATGAAGGTGATAGAATCGAGAATGGAATTTGCAATTCATTGCTTTCCATTTCATCAATTTACAAAGTATTCTACAAAAACGGATTCTTTGTAATATCTAGCATATAATTTTTGTAATATCACAAGTTGTAAACTTTATGAATTTAATTAGTAAAGATTGCATAGCTCTCCTTTAATCCTGTATCATTGAGAAATTATATTGATTAATATCAAACATTAAAATAACTTCTATATTTCTGCATTTTTAATAGTCTTGAATTCTATAGATCTCATCATGCCATGCTTCAATGTTTGAACAATTATAATCAAAAACTGCTAAAATCAAAATTGCTTACAGTGCCTTAGCGTCCCTTTGAGAGGTAGCTTTATGTGGCGGGAAATATTTTTACACTAAGGAAAATACAATCAAATAGACGGCATTAGTGATACCGACGAAAAAATTTGATTTCGAATATCGTGTTGAATATAATAACTCAGGTTTACGTCATATACCTTCTGCAGCATTTGTAAGAACAATGCCATTTCAGTCTATGATCTAATATCGAGGAAATATGGTTTCAAATTAAACATACTGCATTTCAAAAGTGACAATGTGACAAGTGTAGTACCACAATTAACGATAATGAGATTGCAGTAATATTGGAAGTCGAATCCGTAAATCTTCTGGCAGCATGCTATCCCCGATATTTTGGCAAAAGATCGTAGAAGATTACTTACTTACACTGCACCTTCGAGCGACATTTATGTAAATTGTTCAAATCCAAGAGGCCATTATCGTGATTAAATAATTATATTGACCAGGTATACAACTTCGATCCTCAAACATTAAGAAGTATTTTGTATTCTCATTACCTTGCCTTCTCAAATATTTTGCAGGAAGAAAACATGTCGCAATGTTGGTGAAAAAAATCACAAATACTTGTTGATTGATAATGGCATGTTATTAACATTACAACTGCCAGGTATAGTTTTACCTGTATAGTTTTTTATCGAAATAAAGTGACAAAAACCTTAAACTGAGAAACATCGACTGGAAGTTCCACAAGTTCTATTTGCATAAAATATGTTTGTGCTTTAGTTAAATCAAGCCTTTCAGCTTTACAGCTATCTTTTCCAATTCGTTCTTTCATTTCAAATGCTAATTGATATATTTGCAAAAGTCGCTGCTATTGACGATAGGAAACTGAATTCACCAGGTCTTCTGATTTATGAAACAAGCTCTACGATATTGTATATCAGCAGTTGTGTTGTTAATTATTTCCCTGTGATTAGATTTCATTCTCTTCCTGTAAAATTCGTTAAATATTGATAGAAATCTACTAACTTCTCATGGGATCTTTGAAAATTCAATTATCTCTTTTGCCAGTCACACGTAAGTCACAAAATTGGCAGAATGCAGCATTTCATCGTGGATGAACCATCCATTCCTTTGTTTTTATATTACAATCAACTTTAAATTTCTATATTCGTGGTGCCAAGCAATGTTCCTTTATCAATGCCGTAATATGAACTGCTCTAATCTTTCTATTGAATCTAATTTCCTTTACCATTGTCCTTTGTGTGATAATCCCTTCTCTCTTTTTATCAAGTCAAGCGAATTTCATTTCAGAGTTTGTTTAAATTTCATTTCATGTGTTCTATAAACGGAAGACCTTAAAAACTTTTCATAGGTAACCAGAGAACTGCCAAATTTTATCCATGCAAATCATGTTTCGGAAAATCCTTTCATTTCAAATGAAGCTATTCCTTTCTATGATTCGATCTTGTGAATAGCACCAAAGAGTAAAGCCAAAGATAAAATTTAATGATATTTATATTACTTTGAATCCACTTTTATCCATATCATATTCAATGAACTGTTTGTTAGATACCGGTTTTAGAAGAATTTTGAAATTTCGAGCAGATTAATTTCCACAAACACTACTTTTATTATAATGAAACTGGTTACAGCACACTCTTCCAACTAATAAACTGTTCATTGATGTGATCAAGTTAAAGTATTTATATACCAGTCGATATGCAAATATATGTCAGGTTGGCGATTATATCTGCACCGATTATATTCTGCTGTTGTGATGTGTGAACATTCAACAGTTACTTGATGGGCAAAAGAAAACAGTTGAAGAAAACACATCGAATTAAATTCGAAATGATCCAATTTTTGAAAGGAAACTATTACACCTAGCACTGTTCGTATTTCAAGTCCTTGATTAATTTTGGGACAAAAATCACATCAATGTGACATAAAGTAACTTGATCATCTCCGTACATCCATCAAAAACTTAAGTACTCCACTTCTTTTTTTTCGAATCTTAAAAAATTTAAGATTTGTTTACTTGTCGCCTATATCTATACGGATGAAGAAGAAAGAGGAATGCTAATTTCATCAGTGTGATATTCGCTAAGAAGGATTTAAAAACCGTGTATGTATGATTACTTTCATATCTTTGTCTCTCTCTCCCTCTTTCTTTCTATATATGAGTTTTTACCTTATCATACAAACCCTATAATAAAAAGAAAACATAGTTAAATTTGTGCAAATTGAAGATTAATACTCTCATAGGGAATGTTATCAATATTTTAAAAGCTGAAACGCGACCACACCACATATTAAAACCCTGAAAATATATGCTTAAACAATGATTTCAATTCCTCCAAAAGGAAACAAAAATAACATTTGAAATTTGGATCTAAAGAGTTCAGTTTCTAAAATGAAAAATTTCGACTAAACAATGCAATAAAAACGTATGCAGTATAAAAAAAAAAAAAAAAAAAGAAAAACATCAAACAGTAGCTAAATAACTAAAGTACAGCACAAGATTTCTTCTCCTGAAATGGATTGTGATTATCGATAGGTCCACTGACGAGCATATCATGCGGCTTCTCTCGTTCGCAATATTCTATTAAACTATAAAAAGAACGATAAAAAATATAAATTTGAAATTACAGTCAAAAGATCTCATTAGCACAAAGTAACAGACAAAACATCATTTAAATTATCATTGGATTGTTGAATTTAAGTTGGAATGAAGAGAAATTTATTTCCAATTAAACAAAAACTCACTCTTTGGAAACCTCTGATACTTTCTTCCGTGAAACTTGTGCTTCAATACGTAGCTGTTCTGTTTGTACTCGAACTTGATCCATTGAACTAGATAAGCTTCGTCGAATTTACAAAATTCTAGCAAACTGCGTAATCAACGCAATCCCAATCAACTGTATAAAGAAATCCCAACTTTCGATTAGCCAAATCGCTAAATTACAAACAAATGGGAAATTATTATGCAAGTTTATGAATATAATGTTCTGCCAAAGTAAGTAAACGTAAGAAGATATGTTAAGTATAAAAGGTAAGTAAACAAATATATTTAAAATAGAAAAAAAAAACAATTAGAAAAGACAATGTGCAAAATATTGCAATATGTAGAGATCGATTTTTGAAAGAGGCGGTCGGCTTCTCCTTGCATTATTACCTTGACAACTAACTAATGGGAAGATGCAGGACTCATTTTAAATATATGCAAATTTTCCTCATTTCATATCTGCACATAAAATATCAATTGCATGCAAATAATTGTTGGCAATGCATTTTAAATAAGAGACTTTCTGTCTTAAATTAATTAATAATTTCTTTAATCCAGCATATATTCATCTTCACAATTTATCATTAAATTCTTTTTGGAAAGGTGAAGGTCCAGCTTAGAATCGATCTGTAATCGTTAACTGGCAATCTGCTTTGAAATATCGCATGGTTATTATTATTTCGCCCGGTTGACTTCTTTTAATGATTGGACTAGATTTTATTAAGGAAACGTGCATATTATCACGATGTGGAAAAGCAGCAATTGAAATAAAACTAGGATGGAAGTGTGGCCCAAAAGCTTCAAGTAAGCCAAGAGAAGACATAGGCATTGATTATTGCTAGTCCCATAATTAACGCCTCCATGACCAAATGGTCTTCCTGGCTCCAATAACAAAATTATTATGATGATTCCATTGCAGTATGAAATGATAATCAATAATATGTGTAATTGGAAAGACTATTTAAACCCTTCTATTTTTTTGACTTAAAGATTGCTTGAATAAATAATAATAATCTTTGCTGTTATTTATGATATGATGAAAATCAATAATCCACATCTTTGTTCTTGAAAGAAGGTTCTATAGGATTGGCCAAGCATCTTATTGTTCCTTGCTGAATCAGAGAGTGCATGTTTAAAAAGATAACTTAGATATGCAACAAGTGCTTTGCACCATATTTCTGACTGGTAATGAATTTCAGACTTTTAGCGCCGAACCTTGCAAACGGTCGTTGAGTTGAAACTCTTTGATATTCATTAACTGCATAGGCAAGGATGTTGTGACTAATTAAAATAATAGTTAAGAAGGGGAGTAAATGAAGAAGACAAGTATTAGGGTAGGAGACACAAGCTGCAAATTGTAACATAGCAGTTGGCGACATTGGCAGATAAAGTGAACTGAGCAGGGAAAGAAATTGAAATAGGAGAATTGTGAAGAGGCAATGTCAGTTGTATAATAAGGGCTCAAATTAGAGGCAATAGCAGGAGTAGAGCCAATCAATCCTTTCCGAGGATATCGATAGGGTACAGATGATGACGCCCTCATTGGTTGGTTAGATGTAATCTTTGTCTAACTGCGACGTCGTTATGACCACTAGAAGCATCCGTTATTCCGATTTAATGAAGAAAGATCTTATGGGATGAAACTGAAATAAAAAGAAAAAAACTGATCTTATGGGATGAAATTAAAATTGAGATGATGTATATCAAAACCCATATTATTTCCGGCAGTGACAGACCAAATCCATGATTTTACTGTTTTGTAAGTGAAATCATCGAAACGAAGGTGCTGCTACATTGGAGCCGGAATAATATCCTCGATGTCATGAATACTGAATGGGAAAGGGTGACTTTTAAACCATTGCTTGTTAACCGTTCATCATTCACCTTTCTCTACTTTTTTTTCCATTGCTGAGTTTAAAAAGGCAAAACTTGGCATTTTTATTTTAAGTACACCAATATAAAAATTATAAATTCTCTTGCACCAATGTTGAAATAACAAATTTATAAAATACATCCGTAAACAATTTTAAAAGTGAATTAAATGTTAAATCTATTTCACCTTGCTTCAGCAAAACAAATCGCACAGTTAACGATTTACTTAAAAAATTAAACATATAGTGGGTATAGTTTAAGCACATAGTTTAAACTGAACACACAAACACACATTAAACATACTTCCAAACCATTAAGTATTTCAAAATATTAACAAAAGAAAATAATAAAAAGTTATAAACAAAAAACTTTATAGATATAAACGAAAAACTATGACTCCAACAAACGTTTTAAAGAAACATTTTTGCAGACATTAAACATCTATGAACATGAACTGAACATATAAATAATGCGTGAGTATAGTGAAAACGAGATAAAGTAGTCCAATTAATTTTAATAAATCGCAAAAGCAGAAAATCAAAATCCTTACAGATACGAACTGGATGGAAGACAACATCTTTCCATACAATGAAAACCATAGGATAAACGGAACTACACTACATATCGTAGTATTCTCTAACAATTCATCTCACTAATGATCCGATGCTGAGATCTCAAACATGCTTAACCGAGACGTACTCAATGAACGACGCCTGCTCCTTGAAACTGTATTACGAATCGATTTTAAGCCAACTCGCAATGGTGACCCAGTCCTTGATTTTGAATTCTCTATTTTCGGTCTTCCGTCATTAGATAGATGATCGACTGACTGCAGCATCCTCGACATTGTGTTAGTAGTACCTGTAAGCATAAATTTATTGCTGTTTAACTCATGAACAATTGTTATGTTGCTTATTGAAATTTTCACTTTCCTAAATAAAATCAACGAGAACACCTAAAATCTCTACTACACTAATTAAATCACTAAACAAAGTATTTAACTGAATATGATGGATTAAAAATTACCAGCTGGTTCTATTGTAGCCATGAACGTATGCATCCGATAACCACCAAGCCAAAAAAGAAGTACAACTATGAGGAAAAAGAAAGTTATTGTTTTTACGATAATGAAGTGCAGGGGAGAATCGCGGAAAAATTCATTGAAAAAAGTGTTGAAATGACGTCCAAATACACCAAGAGAAGTGAATACGAAATTTGATAAGACCTCGCAGATCACATCCAAGGGTGCAATTTCATATATAGGTTCAACATACAGATCCTGAAAACTTGAAGTCAGAAATAATAAGCAGTATGTCTAATCCATAATGGGAAAATTAATCAAACTAATTTTCCTTTCCTTGGAATTAATGCATTCGCATTAAAACCCTCATTTTTACATCAATTTCCAACTTTTTTTCTTGCATACAAACATTCCCATGATGCTCTCTTTTCCTGTTTCCCATTCAGCACCATCTAAGATGAATAGGATCATCGAGTACCATCGACACTCAATATTTATATTAGCAATCTAAACAAAATATTTTCCGTTTCACATCAATGTGGGACGAGATTCAGAAAGAACTAACACCTTGTAATGCTGTTCACACTCGTTTTCTCCTTTGAACAGAAATAATCCCGACACAACATTCATAGCACTGGTAAAGAAATTATCTGCTTTACACTTTTCAGTAAGTGACTTTCTAGCACGTGACATCCTAGCTGCAATATTTGCCTGCAAAAAGCTTCAAATTCAATTATCAATAACAGCAAAATCATCCATAAATGAACAGACCTTCAGATTTCCTAAACTGTTACCAAATCTCTAATTCTGTACGACTTGAAATAACTTGTCGATATAAGTTCTCCCTTAAAACCTCACTTAAACATCTTACTGATGCAGCAGTTACAAGGACCGAGCATCACTTAATCCAACAACTTACTTCATACCAAATACAATACCATACCTCATACAACATCTCACCAATCATTAAGTTCAAATAAACAAAAATTTTAACTGACGAAGTGAACAACCGAAATCATTGACTAGTTTCTGGAAGCTACTGCATGATAACATTCAGCAGAAAGTAGGAAGTATCCTTATCGAAAGGTGTACTACATTAAATGACCAATGAATTTCTGCAATTCTCGTAAAAAACCATATTCTCACCTGATATTTCTTGTGAAAAGTATTAAACACTGATACGATGAATGATACGATGAAAAAAACCAAATAAAAGAGCGTATAGAAAAGTGATTACGATATAAAATCATCAGAGCTGGTATCAGTAACATAACATTCAACAAAGGTAAAAAAGTCACAATCTTATCAAAGGCGCGCTTCACAGACGATACATCTTCATAATGCTGCTGCAAACAGATATAAGATCTCTTTTAATTTTGGCATTAAAAAAACACATATCATTTGCATATGTCTAGATTTCATTTCTAAAAATACAACTTCATTTTTATCAAAAAATATTACCAAAACCTAATTTGAAAAACCGTAAAACTCTAAGAATAACTAAAAACAATGCGATAAAAATTTGGAAAGAACCAAAAAATTGCTAAAGTGAGTTGTAAGATCAGGAGAACTTGAATGATCTGCAAAAAAATTGCAGTGATAAATTAGTCACTTTAGTTAAATTATCCAATTTTTCGCTATAAAAAGGTGTCATCAGAATGTCCGACTGAGAATTTACAACTGTTACTGCTTGTTAATTATTGGTATTAAAAGTCAGTTCAGTTGATTAAGTCTGAGTTGATTGCAAAGTGG